CTTAAATCTCCTTACAGAATAATAGAGGAGGCGGAACATTACCCAAAACACTAGAATGGTTTATTTTATTAAATGTGACCAAAAATAATTATTTTCTTAATAGTTTTTTTTTTGTCGAAATTATATTAAATAGTTTATACTACTAAAGAACTAACGAAACATATTTAAAAAAAAAATTTCATAAATGTTTCACTAATTTAGAAAAAAAAAAGTTAAGGAAATTTTGAGACCTTTGTAAAATTGAATTTAGGATTGTCTTCGAATTTGCATTTTTAGTAGATACAAGATATGTTTTCAATAAAACGAGAGAGAACTACCAAAAATTATAATTGAGAGACTGGATCAAATTTTATAAAATAAATCTGACTTTTATAGAAAACATTTGTACAAAGCAGTTGAGTATCGCCACCTTTTGTTTTTGTCGTTTCTGCAAGCTAATCGATAAATAATTTCCCATACGCAAGGATTAAAACGGTTATTTGCAGGGTTTGTACATGTATGCTTTATACTTCTGTTTTTAATGGCTACAAGTTACTAATTTGTTCTTATTATTTCATGTCACATAAAAATTTACATGTGATTTTGTGCTACTTCTTAAAGTGCATAAATATTATCTTCTTAAAGTGCATAAATACTCTCCAAAAACTAAAAAATCTTTTTCTCTCCCAAAGAACCCTAACCGTCTCTCTTCCATCCCGCTTGGCCTTGCTTGGCCAGTGCTCGGCGGTTCCTCCAGCGTCAGCCCGTCTTTGTTTCCTTTATGCTTTGGTATGTTCATAGGTCTCTCATTTGGTTGGTGCTTTGCTTTCAGTTAGGTTCGGGTAGAGGAAGCTTTGCCGTCTATGCCACCTCCGGAGGTCAGATCTCGCCGGTGAAGTTGGGCCAGCTCCATCGGATGGTCATCGGTATCTCATCTCTATATCTTTTGATTGGTTGTTCTAGTGTTCACGTTCTCATATCCAGTTTTCTTCTGTTGAAAAAAGGTAAATGGTCTTAGTTAGGTGTGGGTGTTTCGTTGTGTTTGATTTGATTTGATTTGTGTACGTGTGGGCAGTGTTCTTCATCCAAAGTTATCGTTCAGATCAAGCGTAGTATTCCTAGGATCCTTGTTGTGTTTTCTGCTTTGCCGCTTGTGATGCTAGGTCTCGTATTCTATTACTATTTTAGGAGCCTGAGGTTCTCTTATTAATTGTTGGTTTGAGTGTGCGTAGTCGTTAGTATGGGCTGGTTCGATTAACATTCTTCTTAATTTCGTGGTTCTTTTTCAGTCTCCTCCCTCCGCCGTTAGTTTAGTGAAAAATCAGTTTTTGCATGTGGTCTTTCGTGGTCGTTTCTTGTGGGGATACAAAGTTCTAGATTTAATTCTCTTGAGAAAACCACCGCGATCCTCTCTAAATACGCAACACCATCTTCTGAGAGACCATATGATTCTTGCAACATATCCGCATCTAGAAAACTACTTTGGCGGCACCCCGACTCTTCCTCTACTAGATCCCATATCCTCATTCGAATCCAAAACCAGATCTTGAACGGGAAAAAAATTCAGATCCAAACCGACCAAAAATAAAGTTCGATTCGGGTGTGCGTCTATCTAAATATCCGATCGAATTTCATATGGTTGGTATTTTGGGTTCGGTTCGAAATATCTGAAACCTGATTGAGAATCCGAACATACCCGAAAACTTAAAATTTTGAACCTCCTTTGACTTGATAATATCAGATATTTCATGTAATTATGAGTATTTCATAAATTTTTAGATTTTTTACTCTAACTATTCATAATTACCGGAAAATATCAGAAAATTAAGCTCTTTTACTATTTCAGGTAAAAAATCCGAGTATTTCGGATTAAAAAAAACTGAAAATAGCTGGAAATGAGTAAAAATTTTGGGTATGAACGGGTATCCCAACTCGATCTACATCCAAAAAAATCTGAACTGAACCTGAACTAAAAAAAAAAAAAATCCGAATAGATTTATATCTCTAAACCCGAAAATTTAAAAACACGAACTACCGAACCCAAATCTTGGTTAATACTTGAGTGCCTAAGCCAATGTTGAACAATCAAGATCTCCTTCGTTGCAATCGTCTCTACCCACTGGTCCGCCTCGCCGTCCGGTCTCCTCCACATTTTATCACCGCAAAAAGAAGGAAAGACGAGACTCCTTATTCAATTCGTAGACACATAAAAAATGAAACGCCATAACTATCTAAAGCCCTCCCACGGTACCAAAGATAAGCGTTGGACACCAAAGAGGCAAGATATCATCTTATTTTAGACGGCTAGGACGAATTTTGGAAAAGAAAAAGCAACGATTATAAAAAATAATCTTAGTTTTGTAATTTTGTTATAGTATAGTATTATATCTTGCTTCTAATCGTAAATTCTATCGATATAATTTTTACATGGTTTATGAAATCTTGTTAAAAAAACAAAACTCTTCGTCAACACTGAACTGATCAACTGAACAAGTTCTTTGGTAGATATTTTTCGCGGTTTAGGAAATATAAGAATCAATAGTGGCTGTAAAATATAATCTTTATCGTGGAAGAGTCATGAATTTTTTTATAACATTTTGTTTATTTATTTGGTTTCGATCCGGTTTAGAGTTCAGTTAACTTATGCTTGATACTTGATAGAGTGTATTTACTTTTTATTTTATGGTCCAGAAATTGCAAACAGTAAATTTATATATCGAGGGTAATATTAAATATCACATGATCTTTTCAGACAGACTCAAAACATGGAGTGTTAATAAAGTAAATTAAAAAAAAAAACTATGAGTTTTTAACCTTTCTGGTTTGATTTATATGATTGTATACCCAATCATGATTAATTTATTTTTACGATTCAAAGAACTCTTGACCATATCGATTCACATATACTCTTAATAATTTGTCACAATTATATCATTCCACGCATGGCTCGTTTTTACAATCATTAACAACTATACTCTATTTATGTATATATTCCATTTCACATCAAAAAAATCACGACGGATCGGGGTTTAAAAATAATAACAACTAACTAATGCATTTACTCAATCACTCTTATCCAATTAACATGCATAATTGCAATTCACATGCATAATTGGAGGGCACTCTAATGCTTATCCAG